GAGAGAGAGAGAGCAATACAAATTCTGCCTAATTACGCCCTTCTCCTGGCTCCAGGCACTCCAGTCATTAATTCCATCAACCCTAAGAATGGGGTGGTGAGGTTACTTCCACGTGTTGCGGAGGAGTTGATGGCACTCTTGCTCAGAATATTTGCAGTTTTCCGAATTCTCTTTCATAAGTTTTCAAGGAGAGAGAGTGCCCGTGTTTCTGACGTGTCTTCACCACCCAATTGCGAGCATAGGGATAAGAATAAAGAGAGAGATGTTGAGGAAGTGAAAGTGCTTCCTTGCCTCGAGCGTCTTCAGATGCTTGAGGCAATGCTTAGTGAATTGAGTTCTAAGGCAGTAGGGATCCCAAAGGAGAAGGAGACTATGCTCATGGAGTCTTTGGACCGAATTAAGGGCATTGAACATGACCTTGAGAAGACGAAAAAGGTCAGTCCTCAGTTTTCTTACTCTACTATTCTGTGTTTCCTTTCCTTGAAACATAGATGCTTGCACACTCAAACCACATCCGTGTTGGCCCAATTGGTGGGAATCTTGGATGTGTGGCATGACGACTTCCCCAGAGGTGTATTAATGCTCTTGAGGGCAAGTTTATGTTTGGATTCTTATGAGATGCAATATGCTAGTATATATATATATTATATATAATATACATACACACTAGTGATATGCATGTGCGTTGCACATGTCCTAAATATTGATCACGAAAAGAAATTTTTAATTTTAAATTGGCATATTCGATTACAGATAGTAATAGAAAGAGAGAATTTGTTGGATCCATCTTCACATATCGGCTTCTATTAGATACTATTTTTATTTTATTTTAATTATATTATTTTCTAACCGACTCTAAACTTATTATTAATCAATATTAATAACTTTCTTATTCACTTATAAGTAAATATTGTTCTAGAGAATTAGAAAATAAAAATGCAAAAACATATAATATAAACTTCAAAATGTGATTCTACTTACGACTTACATTTTGATGTAATTAAAATATAATTCCAATTAGAAAAATAAAAATGCAAAAACATATCATATAAACTTCAAAATGTGATTATAATTCTACTTTTGACTTTCATTTTGAGGTAATGATTTTTTTGAAAATATAATTCCAATTCCATTATTTACATATCTAATTTGCATTTACTGTGAATTACTATCCTGGTTTTCCATTGGAAAAAGTTATATCAATTGTCAACCTTATACTGTACAAGTAAGGTGCACCTAAAAAACCACTAGAGAATGTTGTTCTTATGGTGAAAAACCAACCTCAAATCCATCATCTCGACCTCAAGATTCATAAACATGAAAAAAAAGGGATGTCTAGTCCTTAAACTAGTTCATTTTCTAACATATTATATGGACTGTCCATTTTCAATATTTTTAAGTGCTTATAGATCTTCTTGATCACCACCATTTCTGGAATTTTAAATTTCATAATTAGGGGCAACGATAAATATTCATATTCTTATGATCGCAAGGCTTTGAGGCACCAAAACTGTATTTTCAGCATAGTTTTGAGGTACACTTTACTTCAAGAGTACAAAGTTGACACCTTATATAAACCTCACCCTTGACCTCTTTGTACATATTCAATTATATCATTCACTGATATAAAATATTTTTACTTATATTGGTAAATACATTATTTAGTTATAAATAAGTATTATTTTAAAAATTGGAGAAACTAAACATACAAAAAAGAAAAACCAAGAATGAATTATTTATTTATTTTTTGTATTTTTGATTTATTAATTTTTTACTATATCTGTTTTCTTATTTTTAATTATATTATTTTTAAAATACTTGAAATTGTTTTAAAATAATATTAGCAAACAAATATGAGTAAATACTATTTTGAAAAATTAAAATACTATTTTGAAAAATTAGAAAAAATAAAAATACAAAAAAAACATGTCACACTATTTATTAACAAATAACCTATAATAATTAGATATCTACTGCAATTAAAACTAATAATAATGTTGGTATACATCTCAAAAAAAATCACAGGGATATATATGCCTTTCTCTTTATACTATGCAATTGAATATTAAACAATATGTAAAAATTGACATCTAAGTAACTTAGAGATAATATTTTTTTTGATAAAACCTAGAGATGATAATATTATGATCATAATTCAATTAAAGTAATAAATTCTATAGAGAAGATTAGAATTTGTTTACTATAATAAATAATTATAGAATTCACTTATATGATTATGAGATATGTAAAATATTTAATTAGGATTCTAATTAGTTTTGTAATTTATTTCAATTATATATTTGGTATAATTAATTGCATCTATATCTCACGATTTTGAACATTATAACAATTACTATTACTATTAGTTATTATAATGAAGTAGTTAGTTTAAACAATTATCGATGAACTACATTGTAAAAAATAGAATAGTTATATGCAAATTTCAATTATATATTTGGTATAATTAATTGCATCTATATCTGTCATGATTTTGAACATTATAACAATTACTATTACGATTAGTTATTATAATGAAGTAGTTAGTTTAAACAATTATCGATGTATTACATTGTAAAAGATAGAATAATTGTATGCCAATTTATATGACTATCACTATAATATTAGACTGGATTAGTAAAATTAAGTTAAAATTTAAATAGTGCTTCATAATGATATTTTTTATTTCTTATGAAATTATAACTAACGTCTTTATAATAAATAACTGTTCTATATAAGAAGAAAAATCCAAAAACTTGAGTCATTTAAGAGAGAGAGAGAAAGAGTGAGAGAAAGAGAGAATTCGTTAGGGGGAAGAGATGGGGCATGCATGGAGAGAGAGAGGGAGGGAGGGAGAATAAATGTTTATTATAAATGCTTTACAAGTGAAAAACCATAAATAATAACAAATAACTATATTGTAATAAATGATACTATGAGAAATAATAAGTTACATGGGAAAGGGTAATGCTCATTAACACATGTACATCATCTTATTGGAATAATAATGATATTAATTAATAAATGATAAGGATAAACTAAAAATTAATAACAAACAAAAAGGATAAACGAGGAATAGAAAAAGACTTGTGTTACAATAACAAAGGGGGATCTCCTCTCGTTTTATATACATGTACATGTGTGTGTGTGGGGACAAGGTTTCCATGAGTCCTAGGACACACATGTAGATATGCTGCCCCCCTTTTTGATCTATTTTTTTGATGGAATTTGGACCTAAGTTTTTCTATATATATAGTCTCTAATATGTAGATTATTAATATATAAAAAACAAAAAAATTCAAACGCTAAAAAGATAATTTTTTTCAAATTTTTTTTGAACTATTAGATTTTAGTCTCTTAGGAGGGATGTTTGATACCTCGGGGGACACAAATGTAGAAATGCGTCCCCTGACTCTTAGACTACTTTTCATGTATATATATATATGTATACATCTTTATGGGGCTGAAGTGCCCTGTCTTTTTATATGAGATAGGATAATATCTATTGCACACACACGCTCTGTGATAATTGCACAAGCCTATTATCAAAACTCCACCGCTTTTTAACTGATAGTGCTAGTGTTGGGAAACTGCTTTAACCTTTCAAATAAGGGTCTGGATGCATCGATTGACAATGCATGGCAAATCTGGGGCCTTCATTATACTTAAAAAACAGGATTGTTTATTAAAGTTCTTAACGCATATATTCATATTTGTTTTGATTGTTTATGTATACAGGTGTTGCATGCCACAATGCTAAAGCAGGTGGAGCTTGCACAATCCCTAGAGAGCCTGGAACATTCCAGAGTTAGTAGGGTAAATGAAAATCCTATTGCTTTCTTAAGACATTCGGTTGAAGGTATTTTGTTGAATTTGAAAGATAGGGGCGAAATGGGAATTGAAAGTATACAATGATCTATGTGTTCATAGAAAGCTGTGGTCATGTATGTTGTTGCTATCAAATGGTTTGGACACGGATGGAGAGAGTGTGGGACCCATGAAAAACATGGCATGACCGGAGTGGGATCCCATTCTCTTCATGGCCATCCACCAATTGATTGGATGCTGACAAGGCCTATGACCAAAGCTTTTCCATGATCATATCAGTGGTTAAAACAAGGACTCGGGAAGGAACTTGTTAGTTTCCTGAGCCATCAAAAAACTTGAAGTTGTCCATCTCTTTTGGGGGAACACCCGAGTCCTAAAAGATTAATAATAAAACATTGGAACTGCTGAGACTTGACTGGTTCCATGGCTTTGCTTTTGGACTTGGAAGCCTGCTGCCAAGCCTGAGCAACTCGGGTGAGACTCGGAGTTGTTGAGTTTGAATGTTGATTCTCTAGATTATTATACTTTCCCTACGTCAAAAGAATCATCATCATTGTCAGAACCTACTTCAAAAAAAGAATTCTCAATTGTCAAGAGTCTAATGGAAATCCCACCAGTATCCAAAAAGCAACTGTCCATAATCTGAATAGCTGAGATTTCTAACACCAACCGCCCTGCCTCCGAACCCCTACAACATCAGGGAGTGCACCACAATTCTATTTGGGCTTTGTTGATGACTAGCTAAAAATGATGAGAAGATGGTCATCTGTTATTACTTTTTCTCTGATGAGAAAAACTTACTATTGTCATTTGCCAACAATTCTCATTTCGGATTGATATGACCCCATGAGGATATGTGGTTTGGATGAGCTAGTTGAATTTTTATCTAAGAATGATGAGCTATTTGAAACTAGATCAAAAGAACCTGAATGAGATATTTAGTAGTTCAACTCTTAGGTGTGATTTGATATTTCCCTTATATTTGTTATGCTTGAAGAGTTGGGGACGGGCAGTTAGCCTCCAAACCTTTCAGTGCCTGTTAAAAAAATTCAACCGACTCTGTCCCCTCACTTTCCCATAGTTTATATTCTTAACTATTGCTGAAATTGTCAATTTGAAAAATGGAATTCTTTTAGTTTTCTTTAGAAATGAACATTTGGATATTTTCTTTATCTTTGAGCACAAGCATCTGGCTTATTGCCCTTGCCCCTTTCACTTTTGCATCGCAGGGGACATTTTGTTTCAGGTGAAGAACAGATTTTTGAAGGCAAAGAAGGATGCGATCTTAAGATTATTGGACATGTGATCTCAAAATTATCAGCGACTTTCTGGCCATCTTTTGGACAATTTCATCATTACACTGGAAAAATGGCATCATGAGCAGGTGGTCCATAGAAGCTAATGTTGAGATGGGTCAGTGAAGTTGAGAGGGGTTAGTGAAAAGAAAATCAAAATTTCTGGAATAAGGAGAGAGAGAGAGAGAGAGAGAGAGAGAGAGAGAGAGAGCTGTCCTTTTGATCTTTTTATAGTGTGTATAGATCTTCATCAACCTCAGGAAGTAAATTCTAATTCTTTCTTTTTCAGAGCATGGGATGTAATTAATTTTGGTCTGATTATCATTTTTATGGTTGTCAGTTTTGCTAATGGGTTCTATTTGGGCTTTGTTGATGACCAGCTAAAATACTTTGGAAGTGAAATTCTCTTCTATTCACAAAAGTTTCAAGCCCATTAACCACAGTGAGTGAAATTACAACTGGCTGTGGTTCTGCTGTCATTGTGGGATTTAGGAATCGTGTTTTGGTTCGAGTGGTTGGCAATTGACATTAGTAACATCTATATATATATATATCAAATTCGATTTCCATTATTGCAAAAATGGCTATTGGAGATGGAATGCATGATCAATTATTTGCGGGGCCTGAAAGGTTTATGATCGGTTTGTTACAAAGAATGTGAACCCCTACAGTGCCTTTAGTGTATGACTATAAATCGATGCAGCTGGGAAGATCAAATCATATGGGTGTTCACACCTGTATGAAGTTCTCTTTATCTTCTTTATAATGATAGACCACGCACCAAAGCTGATACTAATATTGGTTTTCAATTGTATGGAGATTTGCTCTCCTTCCTAAATCTAAGCCTCCACCTGATTGTTAGGCATTGGTAGATAACTTTGAAAGAGCGACCGTTGCCCCATAGTCGCTTCATGTGTAAAGGAAATGAAGATACTTGTGGCCAATTGTACATAGGACATGGTTTCTATGTGTCCATGTAGAAATGAGTCCCATCTTAAAAATCTATTTTGAGATGGATTGTCCGACTTGATTTTTAAAGACACGTAATATCTAACATGAAGAACATGAATATGAAAAAACAAATAAAATTTGAAAATATCTAACATGAAGAACATGAATATGAAAAAACAAATAAAATTTGAAAATTATAAGTAGTAATTTTTTGAAAAAATATTTGGACTGTTAGTTTCAATTGTTTTTAGATGAAGCACTTTTGTTTTATACCTCGGGGGATACAAATGTAGAAATTCATCCCTTGATGCATGAAACATGAAACAATTTTCCTTGTATAATATATAAATACATTGTCTTTTATAAACCACTCTTGTTGCACCTTTGCAGGGTATCAAAGTTGATAGAACATTCCCCACAAACCCCATTTGCAAAGAAGATGAGGTGTATGTCTACATGGGAAAAGTTTATATTACTTGGAGGGTGATTCTATTTTTTGGATCGGGTCCAGATCCACGCAGATCTTAATCTGGATCTGAAATTATACATGCAATCTGGATTTGGATTCGATTAGATCCAAAATCTTTGGATTTGGATCCAAAAACTATACATGAGATATGGATTTGATCCGGATCTAAAAACTATACATGGGTACCGGATTAGGTCATCTGAAAGTTTAAAAAATTATAGATATTATATATATAAACTAATAAATATATAACTATATATAACACTATATATATATATATATATATATAAAGTCTTCCCAACACGTATAGGTAAAAATGAACAGTGATTTCGTCTACCTTCATCACCATCCAAAAGTTCATCGCACCGTCACGATTGTCTTATACTGTTTCATTTTTCATTTTTTTTATACATATCAAAATGATTTGAAATTTGGAGCGTATGTACATCTTAGTGAGGCGCACTTAATAAAAGTATAAAAATAATAATTCGTGAAAAAATATTGATAAAATAATATTGAAATGTTTTGAGGGTATTTTGGTCAATTTATTTCATGTAAAATATTTTTTTGATATTTTTCGTATGTTCGCCTATTTGTTATGAACACACACGCTTCAAATTTTAGAACATTCCTATTTGTAGTTGAAAAATAAAACACTACTGGACAATCGTGACCGTGCGAGGAACCTTGGATGGTGATAAAGGTAGGCGAAATCACTGTTCATTTTTGCCTATAGGCGTTTTGTAGTATCTTCCATATAGGGTTTGTCTAGGGTTATGTGAAGTTTAGATTATCCCATATATATATATATACTATTTTAAAAATTGGGTCAGATACAGATCAGATCCACATGTACCTAGATCCGATCCGAATTACTATTCAGATCTACATTTTGGATCTAATTTCGGATCCATATCTAAATCCGAATAGAATCCCAAATTTGAGTTTCAAATTCAAACAGGGTACATTCTCAACCATAGACTAATCCTCTTTTTTGGGAAAGATAATTGGGCATTCACATAAGCCCCATTTTGAGTCTCTCTTTTTATGGAAGAAAAAAATTTCCCCTATAGATGCGCCTAAGTGGGTGGTCATGGCACACCATTATTCACGGCTGTATTACATTTTTGGACCCTGCTTGGGGATATACCACTCAGAAGTGTCATTTTGTCCTAATGTAAGCAAGAATCGATAGGAAAAATTAGGGATTCTCCCAACTTTGATCCGAATACAAATTAAGATTTACTCTCTGTACAGAAAATGAGAAAGATTAAAGGGCAAGCAAATTATGTTAGTTGACATCATCGCTTCCTGCCAAACAACTGGAATCTCGCAAAAAAGCCTTAAAAACTTGTTAAATATTGAATAATGGTAGATATACAGGGAATACTTGAATAAATATTTTTGTTAAAATAAGATAAAATAAAGAAAAGCAGCACAAAATTTAACTAGGTAGGACAAAAAACCCGCCACAAGTGTTGGGGCTTGGATTGGACCGTTGGATCAAAATCAAATCTGTAGATGGTAAATTTTTCCTCTCGAATCTAGGCAATTCGTATGAAGTAATTTTTTCCTCTCTTATTTTTCCTATTTCTACCCAATTCGGACCGACCCAGATCTGATACAAATCACCGATCTAATGGTCCAATTGGTTGTGAATGATCGCACTACCGATCTAGGTTTTAAAACACTGAGGGATACTAAGCTAATGCTCTTTCTCATATTTTGTGGTGAGTTTTGGGGAAAACTTCAACCAATAATATCTTCCCAAGAAGTAGAGATGGTCTAGCTATGTGATAAACTCTATTGATAATTCTATCTCCAAAGATAGAAAAAAAAAATTTGGCAAAAATTCATGTGGATAACTATGCAATCTTTTAAGGAAAACTTGTTCGAGCCCAGGAAACGTTGCAAAAAAATCCATCATGCTGCAATAAATATAGACGGTGTAGAAATGTCTCTAAAAGAATAGCTTTTTAAATGTTGACCTTTATATATATATATATATGGGAAATGATCTTGTGAGACCATCCCACACACCCATGTGACTTCAAAGGATCACCATTAAATTAGACACAGATATCTAGAAAAATCAAGTCTTACACTCATGTGATAACTTTTCTAGAGATCTGTGCCAAATTTAATGGTGATCTATTGAGATCCTACACACATGGGTGTGGTAAGGCCTCATAGGAACATTACTTATATATATAGGGAAAAGATTCTGTCAGCCCAAGGGCGTACTGCTATAGTAAATGCCAACGGCCCAGATTGAATCTGGGTTGATCAAGCGATCCCAAATGTCCAGTAGTGTTTGAAGTTTAATTTTTTTTCTACAAATCGGAAAGTTATTGTTTTGGAAAGTTATGCCCAAGAAATGCATTCATATCATTCTCTTTTCTTTTTCTTTTTAAATTGTTTGTATTCTCCCAAGATTTTTATTTGATAGGAATAGTGAAGTGTTTCGGTGAATAATTTCTCTTAGTCATGTATTCTTGATCATGTCATAATAATATTTTTTAGGAAATGTATACAATGAGACCATTTACTTTTAGTACAATGAGGTCACAACTATTATTGATTGTTAAATATGAAATCGGTTGGTTGACAATACGTCATTAACTTGACACAATATCTAAAATAAAAATTTTCAAATGTTGTGACGCACTTCAATCCATTAAATATTATATCCAATGATTAATAATGATTGTAACCTCGTTATACAAAAACTAAATAATGCCATAGTATATCAAACACTTGATATGACAATAAAGAACAATAGTTTATTAATAATGAAGATTTTACTATTGCTATAGATGTGTGCGTTTTTTGAAAGCTAAGGCTTTTAAAAGCTAAGGCCATTTTAAATGGTCTTAAAAGGGAAATTTGTCTCGTAATCTATCCAAAAGGAAAAAAACCACAATGGCTGTTCTTGTTTTCAAAAGTTAGGCATTTTGATATATTTTTTATTTTATTTTATTAATTTTTCAAGCATGACCCCTATAAGTCTGTGCTCGTGGTGACCCGGGAGCGGTCCATTACGGACTCGATGGTGGGTTGTTGTGAAAGTTGTTTTGCATGCCACCATCCCAGACACTTACCCGGGGGTGATAAAGGCTCTCAAATTTTGTATATTTATATCCTTGACTTCTTCTAAATTTGAAATGTCATTTTCTTGCAGCTACTATTTTTTTTTTTTTTTGATTTCTTTCTAAACTTGAATGCATTTAAACATAGCCATGGAAAGCAGAGAAAAGCTTGCCCATGGCAACATTAAAAAAAAAGCAAATAAAAAATGTGTATTGAACTCTTGAAATCGTATATACTTATGCATTTGATTGTTATAAGAAAATCGCTTAATAACGCTTAGGTGAAATTAAAATGTCTCCTAGAGATAATCCACCATCCATTTTAGATTGAGATTGTCTATTATGAAACAATTTTATCATTGTACGAGGAGATCACAATTATTTCTAACGATTAGATGTTAAAGCATATAGCTTGGGGAGTGCCACAAAATTCGTGGAATTTTACTTGAAATTTTAGCCTATTCAATCACACATTTACTGACGGACAAGGGCGATTGTGACATTCATGTACTAAACGTGTATATTCTCTTTTTATACTTTCTTTTTTTAGGTTATCATGAAAATTGGTCACCACCACCATCCCGAAACCATAATTCTACCCCCTTTTCGCCACCCTCATTACCCGACACGAAAATTATCTCCTTGATTAATTTAATTGATTTGATAGCTCAATAACATTAATGGGTGAAAGAAGACAAAGTGGTGCATGTATTTGCTTTATTAAACACCTAGATTTTCCTCAGGCTAAATAGAATAAAGGGACAATAATTTTTGACATTATCAGCTTAATTTAATTTAGAAGGCTTACATCATGAAATTATCTTGTTCATCAATTTTAGTAATATTGTGTCATGATCCCTCAAATTAGTTGAAGGAGATAGAGTCAAGGGGTCTATTAAGGTGGCAACATTAATAGCCATATTGCCATTACACAACTATATAGGAA